TATGTGGGACTTAATTAATTAGACTACCTTTTGCAACACTTGCCTATTAAACCCTTGATTCTAGTCTTAAAGCTTAAGGACTCAAACCAAGTCGAACAATTTTCTTTGTCCTTTTTGACCCAGTTCGAGTAGGGGATTCGAGTGAGGAATTACTAGGACAAATCTCATATATTTTGGACTAAATTTAAATAAGCTAGCTTCCTCCAGTACAAACAGAATAAGAAAACCAAAAGGAACCTTTTTGTGTTAAATTTATATGGATTCGTTGGATTGCGTTTGGGGCACCGGTACTAGGCATCATTATCCTCAGTAATCATGATATGTTAATACTAGTGTTGATGCACAAACTCAAACCGTTCCAATGGCCATGTCCACGTGTCTTGCAAAATAGACCCGAATTAAGACTTTAAGATAAGCATTTCGATATTTAAATTAACAATATTAGCAATATTATAGTGTTAGAATATCGTAGAAAAAGAAGGTCCTAGCTTATGCATTTAAGAGAGAGAATAATGAATACCCTTGGAGGTAGTTAAGCAGTATGTACAGCTAAAATGAATTGTGGGGAAAGTCCACATGGTTGAATTTGAATTATTCAGGTGTTATGAATATACTTGATGACTTTAGCCATAATCTAGAGAATTAGGCTCCACTGGCTTAATTTAAAGTGTTGGGTTATTATTCTAACAACTAAAAGTATTAATTAAAAAAAAACTGTAAGTGTTAGCCTAAAAAATCTTACATTAATTAATTAAGCATTATCCATAACAATTATCATATCCTTAATAATCATTATATATCGTTTCACTTACATTAATTAATTTTAGATTAGATGTTCAATTTTCACAGTAAAAAATGTATACTCTTATACAAAATTGAAACAATTACTATTAATAGTAAGTAATCTGGATTTATATGAGTTTTAGTATTTGAATAAAACCTTTATTGCCAAAATAATAATAATAATAATAAAACCTCTAATAGTATATATAGAGTGCAAGTCTTGAAACTCAAGATCCAAGTCCTAATCCATTTCCTTGCAATTAAAACGAGGTCATGGATTTGCTCGGAAACACATTTCAGCTTTTTTCACTCTTATCCTTGATCTTCATGATCACTGTTTCCGCAACAGAGTTCAAGATCCCAAGGCTAGGAGCATTCCGAAGATCATACCATGAACCCAAACTCACTTCTGCCTTGGTTCCCCATGATTTCCAGACCTTCTTTTACTCCCAAAGGCTCGACCATTTCAACTACAAGCCCGAAAGTTACACAACTTTTCAACAAAGATATGTGATCAATTCCAAGTACTGGGGTGGTGCAAATTCCAGTGCACCAATCTTTGCATATCTTGGTGAAGAGTCGGATTTGGACATTGATTTGCCCCTGGTCGGATTTCTGACAGATAATGCTTCACGTTTCAAGGCTCTACTTGTTCACATAGAGGTACTTAAGATTACTTAAGATCTTCTCTTTTCCGCCTCCCTGTTTCTTCTTCTAATTAAGAAAATTATGACATTTTTGCAGCATCGGTTTTATGGGAAATCAATACCATTTGGATATTCAAAGGAAGCAGCTATGAAAAATGCTAATCTTCGGGGCTATTTCACCTCAGTTCAAGCAATAGCAGATTATGCTGACATTCTTATTCATATAAAGAAAACATTACCTGCTATGAACTCTCCCGTAATTGTCATTGGTGGTTCTTATGGCGGAAGTAAGATCACCTCAAAAAACTAACATATTCAACAGGTAGTAATTAAATTGGTTAATTAGTTTAATTTTTGCAACACTTTTTTTCCTTAATTTTGCAGTGCTTGCAGCATGGTTTCGGCTAAAGTACCCCCATATCGCCCTTGGAGCTCTAGCTTCATCAGCTCCAATTCTTTACTTCGATGACATTGCACCACAAGCTGGTTATTATTCTATTGTCACCAAGGATTTCAAAGTAATTAAAGATCTCATCTTTTAATTGCCTTTTTCTTCTCAGTTGCTTCGGCATGGTATTTATATACATCTTGGACCACATCTCTGTGACATGTAATCTGAGATCTACATGAATATACACAGGAAACTAGCGAAAGTTGCTATGAGACTATTAAAAAATCATGGTCTGAGATCGACAAAGTCGCTTCCAAGCCTAATGGCCTATCAGTTCTCAGTAAGAAATTCAAAACTTGCAGGTAAAATCAAATAAACCTTCGTATAAAATTAATAATATTCCATGATTAATATTGTTCATAAAGTTTTTAATTGTACATAAAATTACACTTTGTTATTCAGAAAACTGAAGAGAAGCCTTGACTTGAAGGACTACTTAGACTCAATATATTCTGAAGTAGCTCAATATGATGAACCCCCAGGTTACCCCCTTAGTACTCTTTGCCGTGCCATTGATGGAGCTGCCAAAGTAACTGATATCCTTGATCGGATATTCGCCGGAGTTGTTGCTCACAAGCCAAAGAGGACATGCTATGACATGGATGAATACAATCATCCAACTGACCAAAATCTGGGATGGAGGTGGCAGGTGATTAGATAATTAATTAATTAATTCATCAAAATAATTAATCCTTAATTAATTATCCATAATTAATTAATTAATATCATGCTGCAGGTATGTAGTGAGATGGTGATGCCCATAGGCCATGAAAAAAATGATTCCATGTTCCCTCCTGCACCATTCAATCTAAACACCTTCACAAAGGCATGCAAGAGCTTGTTTGGTGTCCAGCCTCAGCCTCACTGGATAACAACTTATTATGGAGGATATGTATGTATACAAATAATTATT